AGAAACACATACATTTCAATCTACATGTAACTGAGGAAATAATGTGAAGACTATCCAAAAAACAGGAGTGTGTAGTGGGATCCTACAATTGGTGAACTATATTGTTACCCTGAGAAAAAGAGGGTTTTACCCCAACTGCATCGAAGCCTACTGGGGGGAATTGGGATGGAGAAGAGACATGGAAGTTGTAGGACCAGAGGTGGCAATCATGGGAAGTCATTGTTTAGGGTGGTAGTGATGAAAAGGCAACAAAAAAAAACACATACCTTATGCTAAGGCATAAAACAGTTGTCCTCAAAGTGCGATGCTAGCGTACATCCTAATCATCTGTAGCCATTGTTCCTAATGTACATATTTGAGTACCAACTCAAACCGACTAAATCAAACCTGTGGGCATGGGGCAATAGGAGCTGCAATGTCCCTGGCTCCCCAGATGGTTCCCAGGCACATAATTTGAACAATCAGGTGGTATAACATGCTTTGGAAACTAAACATAATTTAGTGTAACCGAATTGTAGGTTACAGGTGACAGTGAAATGAGACAGATCAATCCAGAGAGGAATGTCATGATCTACTTGTAAGAAGTCTTAAATGACACACTAGGGGCTTAGACAGGAACATGAAGATGCAATAGGAAGCCACTAAAGTGTTTTAAACAGAGGAATAACCATATAAAAATTTTTTCAGAATTATTACCCTGGCATCAATGTGTATGGTTGGATATAGAGCAAACATAGGAAGGAAACTTGGGAGAATAATTTTCCTAAAATAAGATTAAAATAGCCTTGAATTGATACACTTGGCAGCTAATTGAACCGGTGAATGAAGGGAGAAGAAATAATTTTGGATGAATCTGATTCCCACATTTGCTTGCCTTCATCACTAAGTTTATAACAGAATATATAGACAAATAATACTTTAAAGCTACAACTCTGCACTTTTCCTTATATATATCACAAAACCTATATTTTACTAGAAACATGAAACTTGTAAAGACAAGTTCCTGCTACTTGGATGGAGTCCATAAGTTCCTAAGAAGCCCAAAGAAGGACTAATAGACATCCTGGTGTTGATTTTTGTGCTACACTCCCTGAGGACATCCCCCTCACTGGGAACATTGTTAGCTAACGGTCCATGAGACTGCTGGGGGAGATAGCATCTATTCTTGGAGGTATGTGAGCCAGGCAATCTTGAAGGCTCCATTGCAGAGTCTATGGTTGAACATGTGACAATGTGTGTGCATAAAGGAGGCATGAGTGGTAGTCCAGAGTAATTTTTTTTTTCAATAAAAGACTGTGTTATTTAAAGCTACCTTGTTCCTTTTTTGTCTTTTGGTGAATGAGACATTCCTTTTAATCAAGCTGTCTGAAGCAACCACAATAATGACTTGTCTCCAAGCTCATGGTGGCAAAAAGGCATTTCCCTTTGATAGCAGAACATCTTACAACAGCTTTATGAAATAATCTTCATTAAAATAAAATGGCAGAGGTTTGGGGTATTAGAATAGTTGTATCAAAAGCATCTCCTTCCTACCCATGCTGAACTGAGAGCTGCAGCGGAGGGCTTTGAGTACAGGGAGATTCTAGGAAGCAGGTATCAATCAAGCTTCTCTGTATCACTGGGAACCCCCCAAATCCCAAAGGCTCTGTATCACTCATCCGACAACCCCAGAGCACACACAAGATCCTTCTGCCATGATCATTTTCAAAAACCACCACAGTCATAATTCAACTAAAATTCCTTTAATGGCACTGCCTCCTCCTCTTTAAAATTTTATTGGTTTGTTAGAGAAACTGAGCTCTTTGTCCTATAGAGTGTCCAACATTATGAACTTGGCTGATGGACTTTTTGTGGTTTCTTCTAACTTGCTCCTTTATTCCCAATAGTCCCTTATAATCGGACAATATGATAGTAAGATCTAGAAGCTTAATTAACTTCAAGTTCAGTTGTTTTTTTATCTCTTTCTATAGGATTATTTCATGGGAAGGGGTGTGCACTTCATATTACCTCACATTAGGTAGCCAATACTGTCTGTTGGCACACGATTAGTGATGTTATAATTACTTAGGGTTCAGAGGCATTCTTCTGATTCCTCCATAATATTGTTCTTCATCAACCTGCCAGCCATGGTTTCCACATTCATGGATGATTGTTGCCTAGATGCATACTTTCATTGGGGGTATATTATAGCACTTTAATACATGTATTATAGATTCTTTTATGAGTAACATTCTTTCATACACTATATAGTTTCCTTTTGGTACAGCTTTTAAAGGATAAAAAAAATAGAAGGATAAATGCTTTATTTTTTCTGTTCATCATTTTTCAATGTAATGAGAATGTCCTAGAAATCTCCAAAAATGACCAAGGAAGCGTGTGTGTAATTATGAACTAATTTTATATTCATATTTAAATACTTATATGTTGTGGTGGCTATTTGTTTTGATGCTCAGATTGTCGCATTTTAGTTACTCTCCTGTTGTTTGTTTTTTTCTGTGTGTGTGTGACATGATTTAGTAGTCCTTGGTAGCTTCCTTGCTTTCTGGAATAAGGTTGCCCAGATTCACCTTACATATTATTCTCCGTTCCAGACCTGGACTCAGCAGGTTCTCCTAGAGCCCTGGCCCTACTTCCTTTTAGTGAAAAATGATATTTAGAGACCACAAGCTGCATAGTAGGTGCATTTACTGCTGCTGGGCTGTCATTCCTTCAAGGACTTTTCAATGGAAGAGTGGAAAAACATTTTTTTGGGGGGAAAATTTGAATTCATACTAATATTTGTAATTTCAATTTAAAAGTTGATGGTTTTCCCCTTAATTTCTTAATTTTATACTTATATCTCTTTTTCTCTTAACACTGAAAATTGTGACTTCTAAATAAATGTAAATACATTTTCTAACAGAAAATATAGTATAGCATAGTATTCTATATACAATAGCTTCAAAATAACAATATCAATATTACTAATAATGATAAGTTTGCTAAATGCATTTTCAAATTTCTTCAGAATTTACTTGAACCTTAAGAGTGTATTCCGCAAAAGATATATAATCAAAATACTGGGTTTAAAAGTCACTGAAAAGAATTATATATCCTTTGTGTCATTATACTACTATTTGGTGTTCATTTGGGTTCATTAACTGGTTTGTTTCCAATTTTAGAGGGAATGCCTTTTATTCTTTTTTATTTTAATTTGGGGTTTTAATTATGTAAAACATTTACATGGTCTATGATCAAAACTATATAGCTATGTACATTCACATACGTTTTGTTCTTGTTGTTGTTAATCCTCACCCAAGGATATTTCTCCATTGATTTTTAGAGAGTGGGAGAAACATCTGTGAGACGGACATGGATACAAAGAAAGAGAAAAGCATCTGTGAGATGGAGACAGAGATGAAAGTGGAAGATCTCTGTGAGATGGAGACAGAGATGAAAGTGGAAGATCTCTGTGAGGTGGAGACAGTGACAAAGAAGGAGGAAGACATCTGTGAGATTGTCTCTGAGACAATGAAGGTGGAAGACCTCTGTGAGATGGAGACCGAGACCATGAAAGTGGAAGATCTCTGTGAGGTGGAGACAGAGACAATGAAGGAGGAAAACATCGGTGAGATCGTCTCTGAGACAATGAAGGTGGAAGACCTCTGTGAAGTGGAGACAGTGACAAAGAAGAAGAAGGACATCTGTGAGATCGTCTCTGAGACCATGAAGGTGGAAGACCTCTGTGAAGTGGAGACAGTGACAAAGAAAGAGGAAGACATCTCTGAGATGGATGCAGCCATGCCCTGCTCATCCACATTCGACTGTGCCTCCGGATCAGGGCCGTCGCTGAATCTTCCTCCCAAGGTACGTGCCCTTGACTGGAATCTAACCTGGGACCCTTCAGTCCATGGGGCAATGCTCATTCCATTGAGCCAAAAACCAGCCAGGGCTATTCACATACATTTTATCTCCTTACCTATCTAATCCTGTTTCCTCCCTCCCCCAGAGGCAACCACTTTTTTATCTTTATATCTTCTGTGATTTGTGTGTGTTTATACATACTGTCCTAAACCCTGTTTTTCTTAATGTATTCTGAGGGTCAAATGATATCTATATAGATATTTTGCTCATTTCTCATCCATCATTTCTTCAACCAGTCCCCTGTTTTATAAGCATCTGGTTTGTTTCCAGTTTTCAGTTATCCCCAAAAAATGCATTAATGAATGTCCTCAGGCAGATACCATTTTATATTTTTGTCACAATACCTTTAGGATAGATTGTGTTGTTGTTGTTAATCCTTACTTGAGGATATTTTTTCCATTTTTTTTTAAGAGAGAGAGTGGAGGGAGGGATGTGAGAGATAGAAAGGAAGAGAGAAATATGGATGTGAGACAGACACATTGATTGGTTGCCTCCTGCAAGGGCCCTGACTAGAGTCAGGGATCAACCTGCAACCCAGATACATTGTGCCCTTGACCAGGATCTAACCTGTGACCCTTCAGTGCAAAGGCCAATGCTCTAACCACTGAGAACACTGGCCAAGGCTGGAATTGATTTTCAAAAGAGGGATTGCTTAAACAAAGGACAAATGCATTTATAATTTTGCTACATCAAGTGCATACCTTCAAACATATTAATATTGCCAAGAAAATGTAAGAACTAAAAAAATATATTTCTGAGAAAGAGAAAACTGTTTAACTGGAATGATCAGATTTATCAAGAATAATTTATTAGTGGGAATTTAAATTATTAAATTCATGCATAGTCTCTGGTGTAATGTAAATAAATGCCTTGAACAGTCAAACAATTTTAACTTCAGTGGTCTCCAATCCATTAAGTCTTAGGAAATAATGTAATAACAGGAAAACTATTAAAAGCCATTAATATGTATACACAAACACAAACCTGCAAGTGGGGATGGATGGATAGATGGATGCATAGATAGATAAAGGGAGACAAAGAGAGAATTTTTTCCCTTGAGAATATTTCTGATTGTAATAAATTTACAAGCTCTTTAATTCAGTCAAAAATTTATTTTATTATTTTGTAAATGACACCACAGAAATGGAAGTTAGCAGTGTCTAAATAATAGCACTTGTAATATTTTTTAAGCTATAGGTAAATATGCAAGTTTGTCACCTGGGACCTAAAATATAATCCAACTTTTAAATGTAAAAGAAAACGTATTTACTGGTCCTTCTTATGTTCATATGAATTAAAAGAACATGATTATGTTGTCTTTGTTTTTCAGTCGCAGTCATCGTCTAATATCAAAAAAGCAACCTCCAAAACTGGGTGAGTCAGATTTGCTTTCTTATGCAGAGCAAGACTTCAACCTCATAAAAAATGGTTATATGGTAAATATAAAAATAACAGTTTCACATTTGAGTAGCAGCTAGTTATGTATAAAAGTGAACAAAGTTTTTAAAAAGTAACTTTGATCAATAAAAACTGGTAAATAAACCACTAATTATTCATTTACTCGTGTTACCATATTATTCTTCAGATATAAGGCAATAATTGCATTCATCAGATGACATTAAAAAACAACAGTTAATATAACTTCTTCTGAAGTTTCCGTCTTCTATCAGGAAAGAAAAACCTTGGCATCTTCTTATTTATTTTCTTCCTCAAGGCTAAAGTCAACAAAATAAAAACCAACATCACATCGGGCTATAGGACCACCATAAACCACCATTTCCAATATGTTTACAAACCGACCTCATCTTATTTTTAGTGATTACAAAGTCAGTAGTACTGTCCACTCAGTTAATAGCATTATAACTTTAAAACACATTCTTAGCTAGCCAGAATAAGCATTTTCACAAAACCGGTCAGTACTAACGTGCCATTTATGTAGAAGTAGTCTGGAAATGGCAATATACTATTAGTAAAATAAATACAGAAAACATAATTTTGCTTATGAGTTATTTATAAAGTTGGTTTAAAAACTGAATAAGAAAAATTCACTACCTTTCATGCAAACACGTTTGCAGTCCTTCATGCTAACAAAGTTATTGTCATTCCCTCCACAGCCAGTATAGGTGAAGGCCTGGCAGGCATTGTGTCTTGGATTAAAATGATAGCGAGTCACGTTAGCAGAGCATAGTCCCTCATCTCTCGGACTGTAGCAATAGGACGGACCTTTATGCAAAAGACAATAAAATTAGAAATACAGTGATACCGGAATTAATAAGCTGTGGTGGTTACTAAAGTCACTGGAGAAAATATAATCCCATGGAAGCTTCATGCTGAATCCAAAGTACCATTTTAAATCATTTAAAAAGTGTGCCTCAGAATTTAAGAAAGCTTTACATGGTGTATTTTGTTAATTCTATCTTTTGATAAACTGAACAGAATTTCTTCTGAAGCTATGTCCTTATATCATTTGATTGTGTAAAACAAACCCCAAAAACAGATATGATCAGGTAAAAATGGGATGCATTTCAAATGATAATATATGACATGTTTTGTAAACTTTCTTGTGTTGGTAGTTTTATTTTCAATGTGTTTATCAGTTCTCCTTCCATTATTAATCATGAATACATGTATCTAATTCCCAGGTAGCCACTAGAACATTTACATTTACACAAACAATTTAAGAAAACATCAGCAACAACCATCTCCTCATTAATTCAAGAGTTTGCATATTCAACACAGTATTATAACTATAGAGATTTATCAAAGTCTCTGCCAACGCAAATTTTCCGTGGTTGAATTTATTTATCAACGTGTATGTATCTCTGTTGTGCCTCAGGAAAATGCCTGTATTGTCTCTCTCTACAAATATTAAATGCTGCCAGAGTAACCCATTATTTAAGGGACTGTGTGTGGGCGTAGGGGACTGTAGATAAGAAATGGGGAGGAGAGAAAAGAGGGATAGAGATCTCTTTATGCTCCACAATTTGCAATTTCTAAAGGATACAGAAATGTAACCAAAAACTTTAGAAAGAAATTTTCAAGTTTCACCATCTTAAGTCTGTGTACATTCTACTATTTTGTGCATACAATTGAGTCCATGCAAACCTGAGGTCATGGCATGCATTAATGAATACTTACTGTAATTTTATGTGTAAATCAAAGAGATGAGAAATAGTTTTAAAGAAACAATGCAGAGGAGGAAGCACAAACTTGAATCATGGCTTTGTTGCTTTGCAGGCCTGAGAATGTGGCAAGTTATTAACTTCTCCCAGCTTGTACTTTTATAGGTAAAATGGCAATAATAATACTCCCTCAGAGGGCAATAGTGTGAAGACTGATATCATATTATATATGAAATTGCCACAACGCAAACCATGTGAATTTCACATTGAATTGAGTTTTTCGCCCTAAAGTCTTAATAAAGAAATGAAATAGAAACATCATCAAAATATTATTTACGTTTCCTTGGTACACAGAAGTCCCTGCAAGTAGCTTCATCCGGGAACTGGTTCCCACTTCGGTGGCACCCACCAGACGTGAATTTTTCACATGTCATGGAACTCAGATTGAAGAAGTAGTCTCCTCGGGACTCCCCACAATGCCCCTCACTGACTTCCAAACGGCAGATTTTGGGAACTTCTAGGAAAAGGAGGACAAAAAGCAGTTCAAAAATTAGCCTTCTCAGTATTACTTTCCAAATTTTACTCTATTTTCAGAAACAACTGGGTGGGGGAATGACACCATATTTAGTGCTGGGATAGTAAATCCCCCAAAGGCTATCCATTCTAGGAAGCAGTTATTTAGCTTTTTTGTTTTTTTAACCTAAGTGTCTCCAGACCTGACTGAGCTGTGATCTTCCGAATTCAGTAGGAAGACCGTTCTCTCAGAGAACACACGAAGTTAAGTAAGTTATCCACAGGAATATGCACTTCCCCTGGCTCCGTTCATTGAACGGCAAAGCCCCATGTTCTGTTGTTAACAGGCCTTCACAGGAAGAATAAACATAATCAAAATAGGAAACAGTATCTCGAACCTCCACTATATCCTTTTATGCTCACACAGACATGTTTGGCTATGAGGAGACAAAAGCAAGGTTATCATTAGCTAAATCACAGTTAAATAATAAAACCCACTAAATGTATTTCAGATCGATGGGTAATTGACAGGAGGAAATGGTGTTCTCAAGGAGGCGTAGAAACTATAGGCGTAGAACTAATGACAAATCCAGAAAAGCACGCAGGCTGCACCTCATACATTGCACCCTGGCGTTATTTTGCCCTAAGGTGGCATCTTGCCCTGAGTCTGCGCAGGCACGGAATTATGATCCATGCCAATGAGGAGACAGACAGCGCGTCGCAAACTTGTGATGACTTCAAAGCAGCGAGCCCTGCTCAGTCTTGGAGAGCGTTCGGGCTCACCCTCAGACAATGGGACCTGGAGAGCTCGCTGCTCCTGCTGGCTGTGCATGCCGCAACTTACTCTCTATCCGCCAGCAAGCTTCCTCGCAGGCCTCCCGGGTTTCGAAGTTGTTGGCGTTGCCCTCGCAGCCCCCGTACATGAACTGGCGGCAGCTCTGAGTGTACCTGCTGTAGTAAAAATTGGGGATCTGGGCGCGGCAGGGCCCCACCTCCGGGGGCAGGAGGCAGATCTCCGCGTTGTTTCCTACGGGAGGGACAGAGAGTCGGGAGAGGGAAGATCAGCCACTTTCCCGGGGAGGAGAGGTTTCCCCGGCGCAGAGGGGCCTCTGCGGAGAGAGAAAGTACAAACCGGGGCGGCTGGGACCTGGGCAAAGTAGGGGAGCGAGCCGGTGGGGGGCACCCTTGCCACGGCAGCTGGGCCCGGAGGAAGCCAGAGGGATGAGGGGGTCCTGGATGGGGCGATACCTAGGGGATCCTGAGCAGCTGTTCCCATCAGGAGCAGGGGCAGAAGCAACAGCCCGAGGGTCCAAAGAGGATCCATGGTATCCAAGTTCGCGGGAGGAAGATCCCCAGAGTGCCCGGCAGGAGAAGGGCGCGCAGCGTGCCGCTCGGAGGAGGCCTGTGTGCCGGGCGGTGGGTGTGGGCTTTATGTAGGGGTGAGTGTCCTCCCGACCCCGGACGGGGCGGGGCGTGCCTGTGGGGAGCCCGGCGGGGCGGCTGATTCACGCCCGCAGGCGGTGATCCTGGCACTGGAGGGTGTGTGCTGGGAGAGGAATTCCCCGCCAAGTTGAACCTGTCTCCCCAACTTTCTCTGGCGTCCAGCGGGAGTGACCACATGGGGCATTCTGTGTCAGTGATGGGAAATGGACAACGTAGAGGGAAGTAATTAATCAGGTTCCAGCTTGTAGCATCTCCCTGAAGACTGAATCTATCCTTTGAAAGCATGAAGTCCACTTATTTCAAAGGCAGGGAGAAAGTGTGAAATTCATTGGGCCGAGGCTCATGATAATATACCCTTTAGTTTAGAAATTGAAGTATATGTGTATTTACATTTATACGGGTATACATACATACACTTTTCAATCGAGGTCCACATGACATTTAATAAAAGGCTCATCATATATCTTAAGTGTAGTTTCAAGAATTTTTCATAACTATGTATACCTTTGTAATCACCACTCTAATCAAGAATTAGAACATTCCCAACACCCCGGAAAATTCAATCGTACCGTTTTCCAGACAATCCTTCCATCCTCAGGCCAGAGGCAGCCACTCCTCTGATCACCATAGAGTGGTATTGCCTGTTCTTGAATCTCATGCAAATAAAACCATAAAGCAAGTACTATTTTGTACTTCATTTGCCCCGCTGCTTTTTTTTTTCTTTGAGACACATCCATTTGCTGTGTAGTTTGGTTCCTTTTAAATGCTGAGGAGCCTTCCGATTAATGAATATTCCACAAATATCCTGTTATTGGACATTAGTGTTGTTTCTAGTTTGGGATTATTATGCGTAAAGCTGCTTAGTGTGTACATACAGCTTGTATTACTCTTGGGTAAAATATTTAGAAATATTAGAAACTGCCAAATCGTTTTCCAAAAATGATAAGACCATTTTACACCCCCATCAAGCACGTGTAGGAGTTGTAGCTATGTTTTTTTGAGCAGGACAGATCAGTCCCTTCTCACACAGTGTCAGTACATGTGTTAAAGTTCATTACTATTCCTTTGGCATTTTGGCCTGAGTCTAACTTTGTTTTAATCCTCACCCAAGGATATTGGTGAGAGAGAGAGAGAGAGAGAGAGAGAGAGAGAGAGAGGCACGAAACATGAATCGTTTGCCTCCTATACACACCCTGAACAGAGATCCGACTGCAACCCTTTTGGTGTAGGGGACTATGTTTCAACCAACTGAGCCACCAGACTGGGGGAGTCTAACTTTTTATTTATACAAAACAAATGATCTACTCTGGTATTTTACATGAAATATTAAAGATATTTTGGAGGCTATTTTAAAGAGTTCTCTTGACGAACGTGACTTCCCTTCCTCCTCCTTTTCTTCTTGTTCCATTCAATATTCTCAATTCCTGGCTTCTGAGGATATGGAAGCAAATTTACAGGATTTCTCATCCAAATTTCTGAGAATCCCTATGCTCACAGTAGTTAATAGTCTGGCTATTTTGCACATCATAGCCTCTTGTGCTAGTTTTCAGTTATTCTGACATCATGGCATAGAGTCATATTCCTAAGGAAAACCAGCCTGTCTGGAAATACTCAATGTCCTTTATGCTGTCAGTTACCAGATATGTATAGTTAAGAATGACAGAAATGCAAGGATAGATGTTTAACAACCAGCTTTCCAGGAAGAAGAATGGAGCTGGTTTGCATAGTTTATTGATTTCCATGTTGCAAATGCCCCCACTATGACCAATTTCAACCCTCAGTTTGTCAGAGCCAGTGTAAGCTGGCTCTTAGCACACCAATGAATGAGACAGCCAGCTGGTTTTAGAAAGACACATTCATAAGAGAATCAGATTAGAACCTCCCAGTACCTCCCAAATATTACCAGGGGAGGGAAATTTTTACCAAACATTTCATCGGAATCATGTTCAGGAGAAAAGTTAATTCCACTTCAGATTTACCTATTTCCATTCTTCTGAATATGATTAAATGTATCTTCCAAATGGATTACAATTAATTGGACTGATTTGGAGTCAAACTTGTCATTCAGCATTGACTATTATCCCTTCTGTTGTTTGTTCTCCGCTGCTGGCATTTTTCGATCATTTTTTGCTTCATATAAAAAGAGGAATCTTTTGAATTAGGACATAATATTTTGGGAAATTGCATGATGTGTCCAAGAAGACCTGGATTTTTATCCCTTGCTCCTTTGGACCAGTTATATAAACTCTCTAAGGCTCAGTTTCCTTATTTGTAAAATGGATAGAATAACTGTGCCTTAGGAGTGTGTTTTGAAGATTAAAGGGAAAGTGCCTACACGCTCTGAGAGATGTGCTTCAGCTCCTCACACACAGGTGCATAATCTACCCCGATCCTCTCATGGCCCAGTTCCTATTGTGCCTTGGCATCAACCACATTCAGGGAACAGAGCCATAGGAACCGTTCTTGTAGGACTGAAATCTGTGACTTGGCTCATATCAGCTCTTCTCTTTGGCTGAGGTCAGAGACCACCTCTCTGCCTAGAAGGAATCACACAATCAGACCTCACTCTGTGATGGTCTCTTCTGGAGAAATGAGTTTCAGGGTCTCTCAGCCAGAGCAGAGTACTCAGTCTACTCAGGCCTGCTGTGTAAACACATGGAGGGGAAAGGGAAGGGACGGGAAGAGGCCAAATCCAGGCTTTTCACCACCGCTCTGTGGTGCAGAGTCTGTGTCTGAAACCTATGTCCAGAGATAGTCAAAGAAATGTTAGTTTCCTTCCCTTGTTCTGTGCCAAATAGGGTGCATCTTTAACACCTCTGTGAGTACAGAGCAAGGACAGGGAAGAAGGAGCATTGAACAAGCAGGGTCGTTAGAAATTTGAGATCATCAAGCCAGGTAATCAGAAAGGAAATTGGTCCTCTTATTGTGAATCACTTGAGTACTTTCATGTCCATGAAAAAAAAAAAAAGTCTTCCAATGTAAAGGAGAATCTAAACTTCCTGGAACTACTTTAAATTACTGAATTTATCCCTGTGACCACCACAATCAGCTTCCACAGGGATGTCATTGTACTTCTATCCCCTTAAACCAGTGTCTAAGCCAAAGGTTACGACATAGCTGAGGAGAGCAATTCCTTTACCCAAAGTCAACAGGAAATGCAAAGCTGGAGTGGACTGGGAAGAACAGTCACCCAGATTGATTTGTCATTGCAATACCAAGTGACAGCTTGGGTGACTGCAGCTAAACACAGAGGCTCAAAATAGTTTGGAGTTCTGCAAAATAAGGCCTGGAGTTCTTACAATTAGAATGCCGAATGGAACTATAAATAAGGTCTGTTCCAGTATTTCCATTTTACAGAATTACAAAATTGAGACCTGGCAAGATAAAAAGGCTGATGGTGTTTGCTTCCCTTAGTTGTTGGCAAGCTGAGACGAGAACCCAAATTCTTGAAACTCGGGCCTATATTCTGTTTAACAGCCCAGACCTGGGCTCTACTCTACCAAGACGTTAGGGTAGAATAACAAAAACAGAATTAAAACACACAAACACTACAGTGAGTTCAGGAGCACCTTTCAGATCCCTGCCCCTGTTCTCTTTCCCCAACTTCTCCCGGGCCCCACAACAAATGGATATAAAGTTGATTTCGAACACATTTACTCCCAAGTCTTTGGCTTGATGTTCTATCCTCTGAGAACCTCCCAGGCTTGGGAGATAACTATAAATTCAAGGAAAGGATTGAGGCACATGATCTTCCTCTCTGTCAGACACCTTAGAGAGGTTGGCATGTCTAGCCCATGAGTGAAGGAGGAGAATTCATTGAGCCCAGTGACTTGGGGATCCATATTATAAAAAATAGTTACTTAAAGAGTTGCACTGGTAACTCCTTAAAAAAAGTTCTTGCTGCCTGTTAGTTTAAGCCTTGTCAAAATAAAGTCTGAAGTGAGTCCAGCTGGCACCAACGAGGAGTTTACACATCTGCTAAGAAATCCAGTTAATCTTTTCTAAGAGATTAGGGGTCAGGAGGATTTTGTTAAAGTTTAGGCAACTGCTTCACCAATGAGGCATTTTTCTAGCAAGTTGGGCGTGTAGGAAATGTTTATCCAGTATGCCCTCTGTCTGACTCAGAGCACATATGTGAGTGTTATTATATAAATTGGTGCCATGTGAAAGGAGGAGACATTCCCTATGCTTAATTTTATTAGGCTCATTCTCCCTAGAAAGAACGAGATCCTGGAGTGTATAATGTGTCTCCTACCACGGTCATCCTTTCATTCACCTATTTAAAAAAGAAGCAAATTAAATATTTTAAAAGTCCCAAACTTTGTGCTAGGTATTTGGAGTGAATAAATACATTAGGAATCTCATAACATAATAAAGTAGACTGATGAACATGATATAACCTAGTGTTCTTAGCGCACCATTAAAAATATGGGTCAGGTCCTATGGGACCACAGAAGAGGAAATAAATAAAATTAAGCAAGAGCTCGATTCAAAATAAAAGCCAATTTACACAAACATATCTAACATTCCATCTTCAATACTTATGGGACACAGAGACTCATTCCTTCATCAGCTAGTTGCTTTGGTTGGTTCTTTTAGGAGCTGTGGTTCTAGCAAAGCATTGTCTTCTACAGGAGGGCAGAATCTCTGAAACCCCTTTCTCTTCTTGCTAGGTGTATGCTTCCTCAAATGTCATGCTTACTTAGGATGCTGGCCATCTTTTCTCTCGCCCAGATTATTGTATATTTAACTATGTAGGACATCCAGAAGGTTGGGCTACATTTTGGACTATTTAATCCAAGACCTTCCCTGCACAGTGCAACCTCACCACTTACCCAGAATTCTAGCCTGGGTTACCAGTCCACAGGAGATTGGCATGACAAGAATGGAGAAAGGAAGAGAAATGTTCCGTTCCCCTAATTCCTGTATACCATGGAGGACCTCTATAGCAGTAACTATAATGATGGATATAATGTTTTTTGAGAGTTTGCATTCTACTTTGTATGTGTTAGTTCATTAAATCCCCTGGAGTAACCACTTAAGGAAGATCTTTAGTCTCCCCACTCTCCTAATAAGAAAGCTGAAGTTCTAGATTGATAGGGGACTTGGCCAAAGTTATGCAGCTAGCACAGTCCATCGGAATCAGGATTCCCTGGTCTCACTCTGCACACATCTTTTTTGTCTACATTAGTGGGGACCAAATTCAAGTTTATCATATATAACATATTCTCATAACCCTAGTTCAGTTCCTGGACAGCTCTATCTCAGAAATCTTTCTCACTCAAACATAACATTTATCATTGAGAACAAATAGGTAGCTACAATTTAAATATGTTGTTATAAAGCTCTCAGAGAGACATCTGCCAAAGTTGATAATCAGATTAGAGGATTGAGAGAGTTAAAGACTAAAGTCTTTATTTTCAGGGTTATATTTAGCAGAAAGTAATGGACCTTGACCTTTCCAAGTATAAAGCCACCCTTTCTTGTAAAAATACTGTCATTTTTTTATACTCTATCCCAAATCCCATGTTAGTTATACATTACTTACTAAAGAGGCCTAAGCCCGCCAAATGTTCATTTCTTATAGCTTCATGTGGAACAGCTTTATATCTTAAATCACATGAGAGGGTCAGCCTGCCTTTTGGAAGAGGCAGTCACTGCAGTTTAAAAGGGGCATACATATCCTAGGACTCTCGCTATTTTTTCCCCTTATTGACTTTTAGTGGGGAGGAGGGGAAATAGAGTTGAACTGAAAGGTCTGCATTAGAAGAGAGTTGAGTCCACTATTTTATTTTTCTTCTTAGCCCCTATCACAATCTGAGACAAGGTAGGTTTTATTCTTTTATCTTGTTCATTGTTTTGTTTTCCTCCTTATAATGTAAGTTGTAAGTTCTTTCCTCTGCTTTACCCTTAATCATCTATATAGAATGGTGTCTAGCACATAACAGTACTTTAAGAAATAAGAAATAAGGAAATTTATACCCACATTATTACAAGTTTATTATACATGACACAGTCGACTTGTATCTGAAAAAATGTGTCAAAGTGAATGTTTGTAACTGAAAATACTTAAAGTATACTGGCAACATTTCTATTTCAAAGAATCTATGATTGCTCTCTGTATAAAACAAAGGATTTCAAAAACTAATTTTAATAATTTTCCCATAATATAGCCCTTAAAAATTAAATATTTGTCCAGTTTTCTTCAAAATGTGCTAATCTATAAAGTATAAAAAAGAAAGCAGGTAGTCTTTGAACTTCACACTAGCCTGTTTTAGTTGTAAAATAAATTAGCAAGAAACCTAATGGAAACTCTTAAAAATGCTGGTGAGACACTTAGGCTACCAACATCCCCTCACCCACATCCACAAAAACCAGTGAAAACCATAAACTACCTAAAATATTTTCAAAAGTCCCTCTAGGGGGCAATATTGCCCCCATTGAGAACCACTGTCTCAAGGATAGAGTAGGACTGTGAGATATGTCCTTCCCCTCCTCTTCTATTAGTACTTAGCTCTTCTAATGGTAGGATGGAGGAAGATGTAAAAGGCAAATGCCTTCTATTTAATGGGGGTTGTTTCTCCTCTGGGTTAGCTTAGCTACTACCTTAGTTGTTGATCTATATGTTTTCAGTCTTCTCCTTATATTCTGATAAAGATGGGGTTAGGTGCTTGGTAAGAGGGCTAGCAATCTGATCTAGCCCCACTTAGGACTTCCATGGAGAGGTAGCCCTACCTGAAAGCATAGAATATAAGCAGCCCAGGCAGCAGGGTAGGAATGGGAAAGGGTGAGTAGTAAACTCTGCTTGTTGCTCTATGTAATTGTGGAGTATAAAAAGACAAGTCTCTTTTATGCTAGTCGAAAAAGGGTAACTGAGAGAAGTGTGCTGGAGTAGAAAACACATCAGGCCAGAATACAAATACCTAAGTAATAGCGCCAGCTCTATTGCCACCCATTGTATGATTTTGGATATTTTAATTCTCTAGACAACCTTTGACTCATCTGGAAAATTGGATAGAGATTAAATTAGAGGATGTTATATCTGAATTCTTTAAACCCTTGAACTTAATACAACTCTGGGCCGTTGGGCTCTCCTTATAGACAGTATACACTACTTTTATCTGTGTGTCTGGGTGTCCTTGAGAAAGGTAAGACTTTTGCTCCTCACTCTTTAAATTTACAGAACAATAGGCAGTAGTAAGTACATAAAAGTTATGAAAGATATGCGTGCTCTTGTAAAGGCCCTTATTATCCAGTGTCTTAGATGTCTTAGAAGCAGAACCAAGATGGACCCTTGTCCAAGTGATTCATGGAGGGTGAGCTCTCAGGAGAAACATCTGAAGGAAGGAGGAAAGCAGGATGAAGCAGTAACAGTTAGGCAAATGTGGGGTTTCTAGCTTCATCCTGAACCCATGGGTCTCAGTTACACCAAGATTCTTCAGCCCAGAGTCAGGTGGTCTGGGCTATGAGAACCTCACTTCAGCCAGACATTTACGACCGGTCACCTACAGGGGCCAGTAGTATCCCAGGCATCACCTGTTGAAGTGGTTCCCATAAGCCAAGGACAAACCTACGCAGAAGGTTTTCCCTTGGCGGTCAAAACCCACAGCTGTTGGAAAGATGATGAATACCCACTCCAGAAAGGAGAATCTGGGTAGGGCACCAAGAGTATCTACCAGGTCTGGTATTAAAGGAGCCACATCATGTCCTCATGCTCTCCTTTAAGAGCACTTATAATGCCACCTATCAGTAAGTGACGTGAAAGACAGCACAGTCTGAATAAAAATTGGGCCACAGAGACGAAAGAGAAAAAAATGGAGATTATAAGCATGATGTCATTGGCTCTAATGAAATATCTTCCAGGCAATTTCATATAGATACCACCAAGCTACTGTGCCATCTTTCCCATGGCCCACAGATCTAATGAAGGAGAAGAGATTACTGAGAGCGCAAAAGAAAGAGTCTCTTCTTTTATGATGATATCAGCAGATCAAACTCACTAGGCCCCCTATATCTTGCCACATTTGCTCATCATTGCTGTCCAAATCTTTGAGACGGTTACATACAAATTCCAAGTATTCTAATGCTTTGAAGTAATGTGCTCATTATTTTTCAGTAACCAAGTTGTTTGTTCACTTTATTTCCATTTTATCCGTGCCTATTTCAATCCCATACTTATAAAGAATTTGTAATGACACTTTTTTATGGTTCTCTGTTAATACCAGATTAAATACTCTAGTGATTTAAGGGATTAATGGGCAGTCCTCAAAATGACCTTAAACAAACTTAAATGGCATAAATCATATAGTGGAGGGCTTTGGAGCTGGAGATGAGGGTAGGAAATCCAAATTTTGACACTGTGGGGGGAAAAAGAAAAAAAAACACAAGGAAAAGAAGGAGGATCTTTGGGTATTTAAGATTACCTACTGACTACACTGACCGCCCCTCACAAACCTACTAGCAGGTGTTTAGAGTCTAGTGCTTGGTTTAATCATATTAGTGAAGATTAAAAAGAAGCTTTAAAATCCCAAGACTGGTGTTCAGTGCTAGGATTGTTTGGAGAGCATTCGTGAGAAATCAATTATCAAACACACAGGGAAAGAGAGAGTTCACTCAGCAAGTTAAGAGCTGAGGGAAGGGTTGGCTAACATTGACTTGAAGCAAGTTCCACAATCCAGGTGTATGAACTAACTTTCTACCTTTTAGCAAGAAAAGGTTGCCAGCAGTCAATATGGAAGAAATGGCAGAAAAGGAGAGACTGAGGAAGGAAGTTGCGCAGCTCCGCAGAGAAGCGGCACTGGAAAGAATGAAGGTAAGTTGTTTTCTTTTGAATTATATTTTCAACTAGAGATACTGTAGGATTGGCCAGATTAGAAACCACTGAAAGAGTACAGAATTTGCTACCCCCAAATATGCCTCTTTGGTATAAGGATTACTTTAGTCTGATTATTGTTGAGAAACAGCAGACACAGGAGAAGCTCTGAAAGCGCAGCAGAAGTTGCCCTTTGGTAAGAGATTTTGACATTTATAAGGGAAATCTCCATGTGTGAGGGTGTCTCCTCTCTGTACCTGGAAGAGGAGGGTGACTAAATCTCTAGAAACTATTATTAAGGGAGGTAAGGACTTCAATCTGTACAATCTTATCCTAGTTTGCTGTGCTTTGCCTGGGAACCTCTCATAAAAGGTCCTCAGTCCCACCCTCCCACCCATCTTCTATCTTCAGATGGAGGTGGTATATAAGGAGCTGCCTTGGGCCATTTTGGGGAATTACTCAATTTTCCTGAGTATCCCCATGTATACAGAAGGTATACATGTTATTAAACTTCTGTTTGTTTTTTTCCTATTAATCTGCTTTTTAAAAATTTATTACAAGGGCTTCTGAGCCAAGAACCTAGAAAGGTAGGGGGAAAATTATTTTTCCGGCCCCACACCATTCACTGGAGAGGTGCAATGGAGTTAAAAATAAATTGTGCAGGTAAAAATTTATCAGAGATTAAGAAAATGAATAATCACAATTATTTCTTGATTTAGGTTTAAATCAAAGAATTGGCAAACTATTTTCCATGACCCAAATCCAGATGTTGCCTCTTTTTGCATGACCACTAAGTTAAAAATGCTTTTACTTTTTTATAGTTGTTAAAGAAAAGAAAAGAAAAGAAAAGAACGAATATGAGACAGTGACCATATTTTAGCTAAGCAATAAAATAAAGTAATGCATATTGGCCTTTTGGCCTTTTGCTTTTATCTTTCTAAATTGAGAAGCTTTTCTTTATTTGATGCAAATCTTTGATATTGTTCAAATACTCTTAACCAAGAAGTCATCACCCCTAGTATTCTCATAGCCAGTAATGAATGAGTACATTCTATTCCTTCTTTAGAAGCATAAATTAGTTCAAGCACAAGAACTCATAGTTCCTCCCAAAAACATCTGACAAGTCTTGGAAATGGTTATCAGGAATTCTCTGCCATTAAAGGAGAATAAATGGCAAAGGCATAAAAGTTCCCATGGAGTTTAGAAAATGTAGATATGTATTTTAGATTTGCTCATTTTAGGAAAATTAGTATAAACAAAAGCTCCTTCACAAGTGTAGCGATAAAAGTATATTTTTATATATTTTTTAAAAACTCATTTTATGAGGCCAAAGTGAAAAAAGGAATGTATTATATTTAAACTGTGCTCAATACTCTTACTCCCAATAAAAATAAGAATTTTGGCTTTTTTGATGTTTACAATTGTCTCACACTCCCTGTTGTCCTTCCCATAGAGGCAAAACATATTTTGTTAGAAAGATAAAATTAAATCTATACACAGCAGAAAAGCTTGGAGCATAACCAAAGAGTTCAAATCGTTACCTTTATAATTTCAGGAATATAAAATAAAATTTTGGAGAAAAGGAGAGTTATTTTTTTCTTCTTTACTTAAAACATCCAAAAGGTGTTTGTTATTTATATATTCAGGATTGTGGTTTTGTAGGCAATTTGGCTGTCTTCATGTTTATTATTCACTTGTGGCAAGTTCACCAAGGAATTTTTACTTGTAGTAAACAGTGCATACATCACCATCTGTCGGGTTTTGGGTTCCTTTTTCTGTTCTTTAACATCTTCTTACTCTTAGAAGTCAAACTAATTTAATCTGAGACTGCCGAACACACACACACACACACACACACACACACACAACGGAACCTCCAGGTCCTGAACCCAACACTCTGACAGAGGGTGACATAGTGTCATTACAGGATGGCTAAGTGGATGGGCTCTGGAGCCATATCTCTGGTTCAGATTCTGACTCCACGGCTTACTCCCTGTGTAACACTCACCTAAGTTATCTAACTTACCCGTGCCTCTGTTTCTTCTTCTGTAAAATGGGCCTAGTGACAATATCTAATGCAGAGGGCAATTGGGAGGAATAAGTGGGATAATATATACAAAATTCTTAGTGCAATGCCTAGTATATGGCAAGTACTTTCTACCACTATTATTTTTTTAATTGCTATTAATATCTGTGAACCAGACTGGTCCATAATATGCCTCGACCTATTTTGTTGTCAGGGCTGCAGTATGGTCAGCCAGCCACCTCTGCATCCAGTTCCTAAAGCTGAGAGATTTGCAATGATTATAAGTCAGTGCAATAGGCAGACTAAAGATAATCTTTGGAGTGATGGCTAAAAATAGCTACCATTTTACTGAGCATCTTCGTATGCCAAGCACTTAATGCAGCTAGTGTTGCTCTTGCTATTTCATAGAGGAAGTAACTTAACTTGAACTAAGATACATAGTTGGTCAGAAGGCAGAGCCAAAATTTAAACCTGGAGTGGCCTGAATCCATTGTGAATGCTTTCCACATACCATGTAACCCTGAATTAAGCCATATGCGCTGATAAGAAGCCTCGCTGAAATAATTTTAAACACATACATCCACATAGAGATCCTAGCCAGACGCTGTCAAAGTCCTGCATTAGGACAGCAACTTAAACCTCTGTTCCTGACTTCTGGTTGGAGCCAATGGGCTGGTGTTAGGAGGAGAGGAAAAGAAAAGTGAATTTAAATCTCAATTTTGAATTTTTGAGGAAAAAAACCAAAGTGAACCTAAATGACTGTATATTGCAAAAGTGTTTACAAACTTCACGTTTCATTCTATGAAGGAGCCACATAACTGATGCCTTGCCCCAGTTAGAAATGATTTGTTCTGCGATGTAAATAATGAGTTTGCAGAGTTGTAATCTTACGACTAATGTTGCTTGGAATCTGTGTCCAAAATTGGCATAAAGATTTTATTTAAAAAAACAAAAACAAAATTGGTTACATGACTTATGAAATGACCACTTAATGGACTGCCAAAAATGAAATTTTTGTGTTAAGGTCTTGAATGATATATTAAGTGAAAACAAAGCAAGTTGAAAGTTAAACAAATGAATACCTTGTTCCCATATGTACCTATCAATGTACACACACACACACACACACACACACACACACACACACTTATATTACATATGTATAAAACATTGCCTCTCCCTAAAAGATATGATAAATGGTACATTAGCAGGCTCTGGCTGTGTCCGTTAAGGTCCTAAAGTCTGTATCTTCATAATGGTGCAGAGGAATGAGGAGCAAGTTTATAAATGAAACAACTTATTCAGTTCAGCGAATATTTATTTACTGAGCACCAACTAAATGTAGGCTCTGCTCGACATGCCTGGGATCCATGTGAACAAATCAGCCAAAGGTGCCCGATCCGTTGGAGTTCACCTTCAGGTACATTGTCATGATCAATCACTGTAGATAGGATTAAAATGAAATTATCTGTGTATACTTCTGAGATTCCAGCAGGGGTGATAAGCCTGGAATTTAACAATTATTCATTCCCTCCCACTTTTACAGGTCACATTTTTGGAATGAGGAAAAATATTTCATTAATATTCCCTCTGGTGACATTCTTGACTTGTGTTGCCAGCTGTGTTCTGATCTCTGTGTCTGCTGGGAGCCCTTAGCTGGAGTGTGGCCAGCTGTTTATTCTCTGCCAGGAGAAATCCAGGAGGGGAGGGGAGGGAGCAGCTATTTCCTCTTCTCTTCTAAAAAGTACATAAGTGTGGACAGAAAGCAGAATCCCATTAGAAAGATAGAACACACAGAAATTAGTGTTGTAAATACATTCCTGGATTCTGCAGTTTTGTATATTAAACCAAATGAGTCATCTCTCTCTGCTTTCCTTTAAGGTATCCCAATGTTGTGAAGACCTGCGGGAGTACGTCCTACAAAATGCTGCCAATGACCCACTGCTGAAGGGTGTCCCAGATGACAAAAACCCCTACAAGGAGATCAAGGGAGGCTGTGTGATTTCATAAAGAAATAAAGATAAAAACCCCTGGAATATCTTGAGCTTTCATGACAACATTCATTTTTCATCCTATGTCATAGTATCATTAAGCATGTGAATGAATTTTAAAATTCATTAATATAAATCTTTAATGAAAATTGGCATGTGATAATGTTAAGTCTATGTTTTAATATGTTTATTTAGCACAGGGTCTAATGCATCATTGACAATAATGTTGACTGACCCCTTTCTTTGACAGTAACTACTGTGATCTATGAATGAGTCTGTATTATGTTGGTTGCCAGCATTTAGTTACTGTTTTATGTTTCTTCACTTCCTTTTCAACACTCATACTATTCCATCTGCAAATTTCATGGTTAGACTTACATATTTTTTCAACCTTTCTCTTGCTTACTGAATTAGGAAGTCTATTCTTTTGATTCATAAGACTGATCTTTGCAGAATGTGTGCTGTGAAGATTTTGGTTGCTGACGGTTTGTTTTCTGTTTCACTTTATCTTTCAACCCAAAGCGAGCAGTGATGGTTTTAACATTAACCTCTTCCTCCATTCTTACCAGTTCTAGTTGTCATCAATGATGTGACTTTCCCCTGGAATGCCAACTGGATCGAGGGTTCAGTGTATGGTCACAGGGCACAGTAGGTGTAACCAGCACCAGAATGAGGATGATGAGAAGCCAGACAGCTCGGGCTCTGGCACTCGACTGCCTAACTGACTTTGGATAAATGACTTAAGCTGTCTGAGTCTCAGTTTCTTCTACTGTAGAATAAGGAAAGAAATGGTGCTATCCCCTTTGTCCTGGGGATTAACTGTGATACTAGGGTGACTATAGCACTTAGCATTTTGCCTGGCATAGAGTAAGACCCACTAGGTGTTAGTTTATTACTGGGAAAGGAACTGGACTACATGCATAGCATCCCCATGATAACTCTCACCAGGCCCATCGATAGAAGGCAAGACGATAGAAAAGTAGCTATCCGCATCCTCCTGCTAGTCGATTTCCTCCTAGCTTCACCTTGAGTCTGCCTACGCCAGACCTCACTACCTTTGCGCTGCTAACGCCTCTGCTTCTGTAACAAGTGGCGAGTATTAATAGATAACTAGATAACTATTTTTGCTGCGAGTATTTCCTTGTTGCGCTCTTACCTTTACAGTGCTATTTTTGTAATAGATTAGAAATGCTAATTATTCTTTTAAAAAGATAAGAATGAGCTATTATTTTTTCTGAAAGAGATCTATTATTGTATGAATATTTAAAATCGCTAGAGCAAAGATGAATATATGGAAGAAAGCCTTATAAATGTCCTCTATTATTATTAACCCTACACACTTCCTGTTGTCAACACACTTAAATATTAAGTAATCCCTCACATGACTCCCCATCTTCCATCTTCTAGAGTTTAGTCCTACGAATCCCTCCACCTGAAATGTTCCTCCGCTCCATCTCATTTCAGCCATTTTGAAATCCTATTTCTCTTCTGACGCTTAATAAAAATTATCTCCTCTGTCCCTCACTCTATTCCAAGAGTAATGTGTATTGTGTATCTCTTAAGTGATTTTACATTATTGTGCTTTCTCTTATAGCTTGTATAGCTGTTTTAATTTCAATAACATATTGTAAATTTCCCAAGCCGGAAGTTCCATTCATCTGTGTAACTGCTAAATCAACTAATAAAGTCTCTAAAATTTAATTGACTTAAGTGTTTAATTTAAGGATAATTCAGAATCTTATTGGCTTACTACTTAAATCAGCAGTAAGGTAAAATTCCTATTGCTTAAAAATACAGATTGTCAGCGGGATTTTGAGTAAGATAAAAATCATAGGAAGGAAGCATAGAGAAAGATGGTCCAGGAAGAAGGAAATGAAATCATGGCTGTCCCATAGCCCACGCAACTACAAGTGGCAGTAAATGATTCTTTTTCCCCCAGAAGTTGTTATTTCAGGGACACGGATTACTAGGTTAAATGGAATGAGGTAAAACTGAAGGAAAACAAAAAATACTTCAGGCATAGCCTTACCATTTGGCTGTTCAACAAAACTACCTGATATCACTAGTGAGAATGGGCAAAGTGACATACTTTCTATATCATTTGAGATATTAGCCCTTTCAGGGTGTTTTGTATACATAGGTAAGTTTTAAAGTTTTAGTAAGAAAAAAATTCACTGTTATTTTCATTTGGATTGATTGATATTAACCACATTTTAAAACAAGGCTAATATCAAACTTCCAAATCTCCTAAAAACATGCGAGGGAAACTGTACACCAAGTAATGAGAATGACCAATTATATGCAATGAAAATTAAAGTCTTGTATGAACATAATTGATGAAAGGAATAATTTTGATACCACGAATTATTAGTTGTTAAGGTAACCGGAGCATCAGACTTCCCAGTGTCTCCATCAGGAAAAAGAATCTTACAGGTCAGTTTATGAAAATGTCCATGTGATAGTTATGATACATTGAACCAAATGTTAAATGAACTAAGAGCGCATGAAATGTATGTTAAATACTTTCCTTAAAGATACCATCATTTTAATGGCCTAAACAATCACCACTTACTTTATAAATTTTAGAGGAGTATAATTTGGGAGGTAACCACATTTATTTACCCTAACAAAACAGACTCAAAGAGAATCTATGTCTTGCAAAGATCACAAGATTAAAAGATCTTCTTTTAACTCAAGTTAGTATAAAATCAACTCTAATATAGCTGCCCTCAAATTTTTCTTATGATTTTCTTTATATGGATTTTTAACAACATACTTAATACATCAGAAAAATAGTCCAAAAATTGTTTTTTTTTTCTTTTTTTACATTCCAAGGTAAATATTTCATGGCCTTTGCTCTTTTATACTCTAAAAGTAAAAATAACCACATGGTTAATATTATTTTTATTAAGCAGATTTCTTTTTTAAAATTTTTATGGAACCAATGATTTTTTTTTAAATTACAGTTGACATACAATATTGTATTAGTCTCAGAGTGATTAGACATTTATATAACTTTCAAAGTGTTCACCTCACTAAGCCTAGTACCCATCTGACACCATGCATAATTATTACAATTTTATTGACTATTTTCCCTATGCTGTACTTTACATCCCTCTGACTGCTTTTTATGACTGGCAGCTTCTTTAAAACATTTGTCAACAGACGGTGGGATAATAAAAGTTTATTTCTGATTACACCTGTCATTTTCACTGCAGAATGGTTTCTACACATATTTTGCACACTAACTTTGATTAGGGGTAACACATAAAGTATATGTAAAATGTTAAAAGTACATTTGGATACAACTGATATGGCTTTTACATTTGTTTATCAAAAAAATTTTTGCTGATAGAATATTTCTACAAGAATACACAAGAAATTACTTGCCATGGTTGCTCTCTGGGAGGTAAATTCCATGCCTAAGGAATAGGGACTACAGACTGTGTGTGTGTGTGTGTGTGTGTGTGTGTGTGTGTGTGTGTGTGTTGAAGCATTTCCATCATTTTACCACTTAAAACCAAACAACAAAACATTTTTCAGAAGATTGTGTGATCATGGGACTTTCCCAATTCATTTTAGTTCAAGCCATTTACTTAAATATATTAGCATATGAATTAATTGATAAGAATAAAACTTTAAAAAAAATAGGCTAATATATATTTCATCTCTAATTTAAGTCTCACAACACTGTGGAAGAAGTTAAAGAACCATTATGGATTTATAAATATTTTTCACTGCGTGCAACTAGGTGATTTCACTGGAAAGAAATTTCCAGACCAAAATAGCTCTATTTTTATGATTTGGAACAGACATACTGACATTCATTTACTTAACCAATTTATTTCATTTGGATGCTGCTGCTTATTTAATTTAGGCCACATTAACTACTTTCACTAACTTATTTAAGCTATTTTTAACCAACCTTTTCAATTTAAACAATGGGGAAACCAAAAAAAAAATGTATGAGTTCTGGAAACATGAGTTTTTGTCTTGGCTCACAGCTCACGAACAAGGAACACTCCATCAGTTGACCTAACTTCTTGAGTCAGGGAGATTCTGGAATGTGTGGTATTTCTAATGCAGAAAAAGAACCTCCTAACGTTTTTCTTCGTGAAAGTGATGTATCAGATGTAGAGACATAAATACAATTAGAAAGGAAACATACCCCAGCTAATTCACCTCTCCCCTGCCCCATCACATATTTTACACATTAAGAAAATCAGAATCAGGGAGGAGGGGTGGGAGTAACCTTTCCAGGGATGGCCAGTGTCAGAGCTGAAACTAGAATCCGGGAGCACTCAGCAAGTAGATCATTGTTTTTTGGACAAAAAAAAACCTTTGCTTACAAAATGAGGAGTGACTATGGCTAAGTCCAAGTTCCCTGAAATAATCCAGTTAATGCCTCCACTCTTAACTTGAATTTGACTCAGTCAGCAGTAGGTCATCCCCGGAGAGAAAGGGAAACATCTGACTGCTTGGGAAGATTTCTCACATTCATTCTAATTTTTTTAAGCAGCACTAACAAGGTTTTCGTTGATAGTCCAAGGGAAAGGTTTTATTGCAGGCAAACATTTTTCACATCCGTCACTTTTCCTGGCTTTACAAAGTGGCAGCTAGATGAATACTGCTTTCCAGAAAGGGGAGAAACCAATACTTTGTGAATCAGGAATTCACAATCCTCGGTGTCAAGTGTCGCCCACACGTTGGCAGATGGAGTGGAAGAAATCTTTTGGGGGAGAACATTAAGATTCTTGCTCTCTCCTCTGGTATCATCCACTTACCGGTCAATCATTACAAAACACTCCCCAACACAAACTCTGCTATCCAGGATGCAGATAATTATTTAATGTCAGAAAATGCCCCTGCAAACTGTAACTAATATCCATACCCTGGTCCCCCTTTGGTCCCCAAATGTGGATCAAAGTCCTTCCCAGTTCCTTAATACACTGGAGGGCCAGACACCAACAGCTGTGGAGGGTGTTTCTGAGGTCACAGCCCAGCTCCATTTCCCATCTGGGACTTCTCTCCGGCGCCCACAGTTCCCCCAATACATGTGTGTGAGTAACTGGGAAAAGTTACGTGCTGTATCTTTTG